AAGATCCTGATGCAGGATCTGTGGATCCTGAAATGCGAGTGGGACACAGTGTTGCCTGTGGAAATTCGATTACGTTGGCAGGAGTACTGTGACTCGCTGGTGGACTTGCCGATGATCTCGATTAGCCGTTGGCTAGGACATTCTCCAGAGGTTTCGTGTCAGATTCACGGATTTGCTGACGCCTCTACGAGGGCGTATGCAGCAGTAGTGTACCTTAGGTTGGATAACGGAAAGGAACAGCCACGTGTTTGCCTGTTGGCAGCGAAGACGAAGGTGGCGCCTGTCAAGACCATTAGCATACCGAAGTTGGAGTTGTCTGGTGCTTCGCTTCTTGTCAAGCTCATCTGTCATTTGCGGACCGCGAAGTTTCTCGCGGACGTACCTGTCTACGCGTGGTCTGACAGCCAAATAGTTTTGGCGTGGTTGCGCAAGCATCCATCTTGTTGGAAGACGTTCACGGCGAATAGAGTCTCTTATATTCAGACGGAGTTACCGTCAGCATCTTGGTCGCATGTTTCCACGAAAGAGAATCCGGCTGACCTGGCGACCCGGGGCTCCCTGCCATCCGCCTTGGCGTCTAATGCGCTCTGGTGGCATGGACCGTCGTGGTTGACTCGGTCGTCGGATCGCTGGCCTCTGCCGTCGGAGATTGCGAGTGTTTTGCATGTTCATGCCCAGGTGAAGGAGCCTGAGATTTTAGGTAGATTTTCCTCATTCACCAGGCTGGTGCGAGTGATAGCGTATTGTAGACGTCCGCTAGTTATAGTGCGTCGTAAGAAGGGGGGTGCAGATCCTCTGCCTCCGTTCCTCTCCACGGAGGAACTCTCGGAGGCTCGCTTAGTAGTATTTCGCTTGGCTCAATCTGTAGCCTTCGAATCAGAGATAGAAGCTTTACAACGGGGTGAGCGCCTGCGTAAGCGCAATCCACTCAACAAGTTGAGTCCATTTCTTTGCAAGGATGGTCTGTTGCGGGTAGGGGGTCGGCTTTCGCATTCCGAGCTCCCGGCGCAACGCAAGAATCCTCCTATCTTGCCTCACAAGTCGGCGTTGAGCTTGTTGCTTACCCAGCACGCTCACCGGACTTGCCTACATGGTGGTCCTACGCTTACAGCCAGCCTGCTGATGCAGCAGGCTTGGATTCTTGGTAGGAGTCGATTGGTCAAATCAGTTGTGTACAAATGCGTCGTTTGTCAACGAGTCAAACCCAGAACGGCTCAACAGCTAATGGGTGATCTTCCTGCTTCCAGGGTGACGCCAGCTAGACCGTTTTCCGTGGCCGGTCTCGACTATGCCGGCCCATTCCAGATACGCGCCGCGAAGGGACGCGGGCAGAAAGCGTATAAGGGGTATATAGCGCTGTTCGTGTGCTTCGTCACACGCGCTATCCATCTTGAGTTGGTGGGTGACCTCAGCACTGCTTCCTTCATAGCAGCGTTCAGGCGATTCGTGGCTCCGCGTGGAGTGTGTCGCGCGCTCTACAGTGACAACGCGACTAACTTCCGAGGAGCGGATACGGAATTAAGGCGAATGTTTGAGAGGATGTCGGAATTCTATAAGGAAACTGCTTCGCTTCTAGCTCACGAGGGCACGGAATGGACATTCATTCCGCCGAATGCACCTCACTACGGGGGGCTGTGGGAAGCTGGAGTTCGATCCACTAAACATCATCTTCGAAGGGTGATAGGGGAGCATACGCTCACCTACGAGGAATTTTCCACATGGTTGGCCCAAGTGGAAGCTTGTTTGAATTCCCGTCCCCTCAGTCAGCTGAGCGAGGACGTGGACGATTTGCGTGCGCTTACTCCGATGCATTTCTTGATCGGAGAAGCACCAGCGTTGCTTCCGGACGACGGTCCATTAGAAGGACCGGACAATCGCCTGGATAGGTTTCAACTGCTGCAACGACTGTTGCACAGTTTCTGGGATCGCTGGTCGAGCGAGTATCTCCAGCATCTACAAGAGAGGGGCAAATGGAGAACTCCGGAGGAAAACATGAAGGTAGGGCAGTTGGTTCTCGTGAAGGACGGTCGGTACCCCCCGGCCAAGTGGCCGTTGGGTCGTGTCAGGGAGGTCCATCCGGGACCGGATGACTTAGTTAGAGTGGTCACGGTGAAAACAGCCACCTCCACCTTCCGGCGACATGTAGCCGGACTCAGCCCGCTGACAATCGGGGAAGGGCCGGGTGTGATTTGCCGCGAAGTAGCGAATGATCGAGATGTATGTTCGTCCACGGACGAAGGCGGGCGGAA